TCGTCGCCAAACGCACTGGGACTATGGGATCGCAAGGCACCCCTAAATCGGTTCTGCTTCAAAGGAACGCGAAAACGATTTTACTTTTGTGTTTTCGGCACTTCACGTAGCACGACGCTAAAGAATCTCCTCGAGTGTCATCGCCGCCAATCGCACTGGGACTATGCGGGATCGCAAGGGCAAGCTCTAAATCGGTCCTTTGCTTCAAAAGGAACGCGAACTTCCACATTGACTGTTCTTGTTTGCGGCACTTCACGTAGCACGACGCTAAAGAATCTCCTCAAGGGTCATCGTCGCCTATCGTACTGGGACTATGCGGGATCGCAAGGGCACGCTCTAAATCGCTTTTCTGCTATAATAGAAACGCAAAATACGACTTTGACGTTGAGTGCTTTCGGCGCTTCACATAGCACGATTCTAAAGAATCTCCTCGAAAGTCATCGTCGCCAATCGCACTGAGACAATGCGGGATCGCAACGGCACGCTCTAAATCGGTCCTCTGCTTCAAAAGGAACGCGAACTTCTTCATTGACTGTTCGTGTTTTCGGCTTTTCACTTAGCACGACGCTAAAGAATCTCCTCAAGAGTCATCGTTGCCAATCGCACTGGGACTATGCGGGATCGCAAGGGCACGCTCTAAATCGGTCCTCTGCTTCAAAAGGAACGCAAACTTCGACTTTGACTTTGTTGCTTTCGGCACTTTACATGGCTCGATGCTAAAGAATCTCCTCACAGGTCATCGTCGCCAATCGCACTGGGACTATGCGGGATCGCAACGGCACGCTCTAAATCGGTCCTCTGCTTCAAAAGGAACGCGAACTTCTTCATTGACTGTTCGTGTTTGCGGCACTTCACGTAGAACGACGCTAAAGAATCTCCTAAAGAGTCATCGTCGCCAATCGCACTGGAACCATGCAGGATCGCAAGGGTACGCTCTAAATCGGTCCTCTGCTTCAATAGAAACGCGAAATACGACTTTGACTTTGTGTGCTTTCAGCACTTCACGTAGCACGACGCTAAAGAATCTTCTCGAGTGTCATCGTCGCCAATTGCACTGGGACAATGCGGGATCGCAAGGGCACGCTCTAAATCGGTCCTTTGCTTCAAAAGGAACGCGAACTTCCACATTGACTGTTCGTGTTTGCGGCACTTCACGTAGCACGACGCTAAAGAATCTCCTCAAGAGTAATCGTCGCAAATCGCACTGGGACTATGCGGGATCGCAAGAGCACGCTCTAAATCGGTCCTCTGCTTCAAAAGGAACGCAAAATTCGACTTTGACTTTGCGTGCTTTCGGCACTTTACATAGCTCGATGCTAAAGAATCTCGTCACAGATCATCGTCGCCAATCGCACTGGGACTATGCGGGATCGCAACGGCACGCTCTAAATCGGTCCTCTGCTTCAAAAGGAACGCGAACTTCTTCATTGACTGTTCGTGTTTGCGGCACTTCACGTAGAACGACGCTAAAGAATCTCCTAAAGAGTCATCGTCGCCAATCGCACTGGAACCATGCAGGATCGCAAGGGTACGCTCTAAATCGGTCCTCTGCTTCAATAGAAACGCGAAATACGACTTTGACTTTGTGTGCTTTCAGCACTTCACGTAGCACGACGCGAAAGAATCTTCTCGAGTGTCATCGTCGCCAATTGCATTGGGACAATGCGGGATCGCAAGGGCACGCTCTAAATCGGTCCTCGATACCTCCTAGCAACAGACACGTACTTCGGAGACGCTTCTCAAAACTCACGCACTTTCAGCAGCTTGTGCAACAAACACGCAGTTTCGCCATTTCTAGTCAAAAAGCACGTAGTTTGCGCATTTTCGTCCTCGCGGGCACGGAAATACATTTTGGGTAACTTTCATGGGTGTGCTAGTGAGGTGCAGTCACTAAGTCACCGTTGATAACCTGGAGACGGTTTCAGGAACGATCTGTCGTTAAATATAGGCCCACCTTTAACCTCCAAACTTCCTGTAATATTTCAATGCAGATCACTCCTGAAACCGTTTTGAGGCTATTAATGGTGACTTAGTGACTTTACCTCACTAGCCCAACCATGAAAAATACCCAAAATGCATTTCCGTGCCCGCCAGGACGAAAATGCGGAAACTGCGTGCTTTTTGACTAGAAATGGCGAAACTGCGTGTTTGTTGCACAAGCTGCCGAAAGTACGTGAGTTTTGAGAAGCGTGCCCGAAGTACGTGTCTGTTGCTAGGAGGTATCGTCCTTCGCTTCAAAAGGAACGCGAACTTCCACCTTGACTGTTCGTGTTTGCGGCACTTCACGTAGCACGACGCTAAAGAATCTCCTCAAGGGTCATCGTCGCCTATCGCACTGGGATTATGCGGGATCGCAAGGGCACGCTCTAAATCGGTCCTCTGCTTCAAAAGGAACGCGAACTTCTTCATTGACTGTTCGTGTTTGCGGCTTTTCACTTAGCACGACGCTAAAGTATCTCCTCAAGAGTCATCGTCGCCATCGCACTGGGACTCTGCGGGATCGCAAGGGCACGCACTAAATCGGTCCTCTGCTTTAAAGGAACGCGAAATTCGACTTTGACATTGTGTTCTTTCGGCACTTCACGTGGCACGATGCTAAAGAATTCCCTCGAAAGTCATCGTCGCCAATCGCACTGGGACTATGCGGGATCGCAACGGCACGCTCTAAATCGGTCCTCTGCTTCAAAAGGAACGCGAACTTCTTCATTGACTGTTCGTGTTTTCGGCTTTTCACTTAGCACGACGCTAAAGAATCTCCTCAAGAGTCATCGTCGCCAATCGCACTGGGACTTTGCGGGATCGCAAGGGCACGCACTAAATCGGTCCTCTGCTTCAAAAGGAACGCGAAATTCGACTTTGACGTTGAGTGCTTTCGGCACTTCACGTAGCACGACGCTTAAGAATCTCCTCGAGTGTCATCGCCGCCAATCGCACTGGGACTATGCGGGATCGCAAGGGCAAGCTCTAAATCGCTTTTCTGCTTCAATAGAAACGCGAAATACGATTTTGACTTTGTGTGCTTTCGGCACTTCACGTAGCACGACGCTTAAGAATCTCCTCGAGTGTCATCGCCGCCAATCGCACTGGGACTATGCGGGATCGCAAGGGCAAGCTCTAAATCGGTCCTTTGCTTCAAAAGGAACGCGAACTTCTACATTGACTTTTCTTGTTTACGGCACTTCACGTAGCACGACGCTAAAGATTCTCCTCAAGAGTCATCGTTGCAAATCGCACTGGTACTATGCGGGGTCGCAAGGGCAAGCTCTAAATCGGTCCTTTGCTTCAATGGAAACGCAAAATACGACTTTGACGTTGAGTGCTTTCGGCACTTCACATAGCACGATGCCAAAGAATCTCCTCGAAAGTCATCGTCGCCAATCGCACTGGGACTATAAGGGATCGCAACGGCACGCTCTAAATCGCTTTTCTGCTTCAATAGAAACGCGAAATACGATTTTGACTTTGTGTGCTTTCGGCACTTCACGTAGCACGACGCTTAAGAATCTCCTCGAGTGTCATCGCCGCCAATCGCACTGGGACTATGCGGGATCGCAAGGGCAAGCTCTTAATCGGTCCTTTGCTTCAAAAGGAACGCGAACTTCCACATTGACTGTTCTTGTTTGCGGCACTTCACGTAGCACGACGCTAAAGAATCTCCTCAAGGGTCATCGTCGCCTATCGTACTGGGACTATGCGGGATCGCAAGGGCACGCTCTAAATCGCTTTTCTGCTATAATAGAAACGCAAAATACGACTTTGACGTTGAGTGCTTTCGGCGCTTCACATAGCACGATTCTAAAGAATCTCCTCGAAAGTCATCGTCGCCAATCGCATTGAGACAATGCGGGTTCGTAACGGCACGCTCTAAATCGGTCCTCTGCTTCAAAAGGAACGCGAACTTCTTCATTGACTGTTCGTGTTTTCGGCTTTTCACTTAGCACGACGCTAAAGAATCTCCTCAAGAGTCATCGTTGCCAATCGCACTGGGACTATGCGGGATCGCAAGGGCACGCTCTAAATCGGTCCTCTGCTTCAAAAGGAACGCAAACTTTGACTTTGACTTTGTTGCTTTCGGCACTTTACATAGCTCGATGCTAAAGAATCTCCTCACAGGTCACCCGGGTGGAAGGAACTGAAGTAATAACTTAGTTTTGACTGTAGCGGAGAACTGCAGTGTGCAAACTGCAGTCTGTTCTACAATCAGCGTGTGGTTTAACTGTAGAACGAAACAACAGTTGTACCGATTGTCCTGAGTGAACGTACTACTACAGTTTGGCCGCAGTTGGGCCACAGCTGTAGTAACAGTCACCGAATGTAACCTCGATTGTGTCCTCTCTTGCAGTGTGCCTGCAGTGTAGGCCACAGTTCCAACAACATCCTTCAACTAAGGTCTCAAGTGGGCGTTGCTTAACACTCAGAGCGTAATTGAGACTGGTTTATTATTGTGCACTCCTGGTTACCGGTTACCACTGCATCCAGAATTGACAACCAGATTATTACCACTAATGAGTTGCGCAGTGCACTTTAAACATATGCAAGACTCGAATCACGATGCATTTCAGTCCACTCTTCCTGCAGCCGTTCGAGAATCCCGCCGCGTTCGTAACTTCCGCGGTCGAGCGCCTGCAAGTGTAGGCCAGCCCGCCTAGCACGCGTGTGTGTGTGGCTGCCTACCGTCCCGGCTGGCCACACGCTCGCGCGCGGGCGGGCAAACGCTATGGCGTTGCGGGCACTTACTGCAAGGGGTATGGCGGTTGGGAAGGGGTGTTTGAGCCGTGCCACTCAATTTTCTATTGCCGCTTGCTGACACCGATCTCAGCCATAGCCGTGAGTTGATTTTAGTGAGTTGAGCTTAGTGATGCCAGATCTTTTCTTGCAACATGGGATTTCCTTGTTGAATGCTTCGCGAGTCTAAGAGTGCCCTAATCTCCTCGTTCCTTTAGACCATTCTGCTGCTATGCCAAAGCCAAGTAACACTAACGCAATTTGTTTGATTCCAGGTGCGGTATGGGATGTGCCTCAGCAATGCACAATGCTTCGCTGCTTTCCTGACAAAGTTAGACTGTTAGCCTCAAGAGGCCTTTTCTTTCTTCAGTTGAGTCCCATCGATGAATTTTGTTGTGCTGTGGTGTGCTAGGATTTGGCGGTAAGCAATAAAATAGTAACTTTCTGTGAGTGACATTTTTTCAGACTACATATTTGTCTGTTATCCATGTTTCTTTTACAGTTTGATAAGCAGAAGCGAAGAAGAAGGCTACCAAGTTTTCAAGAAGTTTGGCGAGCCCTCATGTGGAAGACCCAGATGGAGTCAACATAGGTATATTTAAACGGCTGAGGTTTGTTTTCCCTTCCGTGTTGGTACTTCACATCAATTGAATTAATTTGTAAAGATTTTTCAAAGATTTTATTATAACACCAGTCAGAATGTTAAAAATCACATTGCAGCAGTCTTATGTCAAAAACTACATATTTAAAACAAGTGTCACTAAAAACTATTTTAAAATATAACTAATGTCATTTGTTCATATTTCAATGACTTGTCACATACCATTGCAGTTTCCACAATAAAATATTTTACTTAAAAAATAAAAACATTCAAATCCTATTTGAGCATTTCCATAGACAGAACATTTATTAAGGCTAATCTGATAGACTCAGAATTAGAAAGTTTCACAGTATACGAGAGGAGCTTGGATTGAATTTGAGATACTGCTATACATCTCAGAGTTCCTTCATGATGGAGCTTAAGTAACTTTAGATGTGGTGGCATTGGATCACAAACTTTTTGTCTCTTGTTTTCCATGATGAAGTGACCTAAAGCAAAACATTTATTGATTTTGCTTAGAACAACAAATGAATTTATGATAAAAATTGTATCATCCTCCAAGTTGACAACAGAGTTGTTCTGTTTTGGTGCTCTTTTATACTGTGTTCCATGGATAACTTCATCATTAACTATGCATCGTAAAAACACTGCATGAGGAATGCTTGAATCAAAAACAACCCCGATTCTCCTGAGAGCTGCCACTGCTTCCGCTTCTAACAAGCACATATTTGACTGTCCTAAGAAGGCTACATTATCCACAGTTAAGGTGACTACTGGCTTCATAGCAGTGCTTGTAACTTTGCTGAAGTATGCCTTTTCATATTCATTCATTATACTTCCAAGTTCAAAAAACAAATTTTTCAGTGCAACATTAAGCTGCACCCCCTTGCAAATTTGAAAAATGGCACCATTGCCGCTATTGATAAGATCTTTTATATCAGCATTAGCAGCTTCATAAATGAAAGCAGAGTGGCCAAATGATTGTCCAAAATTCTCCACACTTTTGGCAAGATGGCTGAGCAAATGTATGCTAAAAGTGACATGCTCACTGCCGTATAGCTGATCAATTTCCGACACAAACTTATTCTGGTAACGGTCACTGTATGCCAGCTCACTTTTTGCGACTGAGTTCTGCATTTGAAGAGCCATTCCTGATGGAAGCTGGCTCCAATGGTTCAAATATCTGCTTGGTAGAATATTCTTCAAACATGGAACGCTGTAATTTACAATCCAGTTGTACCACTCGTGTCCTCTCCAGTCAGAACTCTCTGACAATGATCGAGGAAACCTTGATACATCAGATGTTGGTGTTATACTCAACAGCCTTTCGTCAACTTCCCGTTGTCTCTCACTGATGTTGAAGGGCTTATTTTTGAATCGTTCACCAAACCACAGCCACATGAATCGCTTTCCCACATTGACTAAGCAGTGAAATGAATCGAGATCGAGTTGTCTCACAATGTCAAAGTTATCAATTTCAGAGAGTACAGAATAACCTTTCACTCCTTTAACTTTGGTTCGAGAAGATGCCTCTGCTTGTCTTGCATACTCCATTGTCTCTTCGTGAGTTCTGAGCGGGTAACTTCTTGCAAAAGTCGAGTACGACCTGACATGGCCTCTACCAAAGGGCAACCGGATTCCTGGGTGGTAGCAGAGGCCACACCCATACCTTCCATTAAACTGACTGCAGTTGCGTAAAAGGGGACGAGCCACAGAGTCACTGATGCAAACCGCTACTTGGAACTTTTGGTTGCACATTTTTCCATTTCTCAAGAAGTTGACTCCAACTGTTCTAAGCTTCTTACATTCTTCAACAAATGGTTTCAAGTATTCGTTACAATTAGGCTTTTTCTTGCTTAACCATACGCTCGCCATCATAAGATATTTTCTTCTTAGATGCAGTGGGATTTCATTGAGTGACACAAGGACTGGCCATGCAGAAGTTTTGGATGTTGTTCCAATCTGTAAACCATCCACAAAAAAATTCAAAGTAAGGACACCAGATTCTACATTTATCTTAAAGAAGGCGCCATCAAATAAGTCTTCATAGTTGTACTGATTAATTTTCTTTCTGTTACGGGGGTCAATAAGTTCTTCTTTCTTTAAACATCTCTCTAGTAGCACGCGCAACTGTTCTTCTAATGACAAGTATAAAAATATGTTTCCTTTTTTTCTATTCTCAATTGTACAAACATCAATGCTACAATTTGAGCAAGAAAAAGAACTTTCCTGAACAACACCAATGTAATGGTTACAGGCAGGACACACATGGTGCTCGCTTAGTGCAAAAGAATACAAGTCGATTGCCCTCTTAATGGTATGCTTGGTGGGACGAAAGGCAGAAGTAGAGTCTTCACCACTGATCACACTGGAAAAGTCCATAATTGTTTCTGCAGCAGCGTAGCTTAGTTTGTGTCTCCTCTTGGTAGCAAGGAGAAGCATGAGTTTGATTTTTTCTTTACTTGTCAGATGCAGTTGAGGGGCAATAGCTTCTTCTTCATCAGGATCAGAATCAATATCAATTGGTGGAACAGAACTTATGTCATCACTGGCAGATTCCTGTCAAAATAAAAAAAAAATTAGTCACTGTAAGTGGCGGTATTGCTGTAAGAAGTATTAGGACTTTGAGAACTTACATCAGCTAGAGAACATATCACTGGGGTTTCAGCATCCACAAGCATTCTGCAGGATTCCTAAGAAAAGATCATTTGTTTGTGTTAATATTGCATTTTTTATATGCACATATTACAATATTTCAGATAGGAAGTCTATATCTTATAATAGAGAAAAAGCAAATGATTTAAAATAATTTTTTTTTGTCAAAGAGGTGAAAATAAAAACTGCTTCCCGCCTCTCATTACCTCTTCCGACAGGCAACCATCATCGTCAACATTGAAGCCACTACAAAACTCGTCATCAAAAGAATCATTCATCAGTGTTGTGTGTTCATTTTGCTCGACTTCATCTGGCAAATTGAAGGTAGTACCAATGGCACAATCCTGGAATTAATAGTTTTCTTAGTAAAACATTACAAGTAAAACAGATCAATAAGTAAACATGACTTACCGGTTCAGGAAGAGAAGAGTCCAAATTATCCAGTAACATTGTAGACGGTGGTGTTGGAACTTTGTTGTGGTCATTATGAGAGATGAGCCTGTCCACAATATAAAATGAAACAAGAATTTAAAATGTGATAATAAATTAGCTATTAATCAGATTATTATCTGATCCAAAAACAATGTACTTTTGATTGAAACAAAGGTGAACTTACGGATTAGATTCTAAATTTGTTGACGTGCTTGCTTTATGGTTGATGACAAGAGGCACTGCACGAATGTTTATGTCTTGTTCGCTGAACGTAGAGAGGGAACTGCAAGCATCGCCAACTGGCCTCTTGATGGAGCAACACTCAACCAGCCTGCAATTTAAAATTATGTAAACAATACCTAACGCAGGGTCCAAAAGAGAACTTAACATGATAAGAAAGAACATAACTAACCTAGTCTTGTCATGCAGAATGCTGGTGTTGGAGGCAGAAGCACGGGAGTAAAAAGTACTCCTGGGAATGATTTGAGTTCCGTCCTTGGTCAAGTAGGTCTTGTAAGGCCCACGTCTGCCTCGGGATTTATCCCTGCTGCTTTTCATTGTCCTAGCTCATTGTGGCAAAGCAGTCAATAGTTAAAAGTTTTCTTAAACAGCTCCATAAGAAAATCAGACATTAAAATGATGAGGTTGCGCCCACAAGTGCCCCATCTTCCCGGTATGTTCTAAGTGAGCGCCTTCAACAACGAAATGCTAAACATGCAGACTGATTTCGAGTAGCTTTCGTCGCTTTGACTCTCTCGCACCCACACGGAACGCCGCACAAGTGCGAGAGAGACAGAGCTACAAAAACAAAAACGACTCTCGGAATCAGTCTGCTGGAGCTGGGCGGTGCGGGGAAGGGAGGGGGGAATCTGAGGTAGTGTTTTGGCCTGTGCCAGTCGTGCATGTCGGCCAGGCTCTTGCGAGGGAGGGACAAGTTGACATTACTGACCGAAATTTGACCGGAGCATCCGAGGGGAGGGGAGGGGAGGAGAACTTCTACCGGCAACCTGTTTGCTCTCGCCCAAGCCAGATCATTCTACTGCGCTTCCCTTCGCGTAAAGCAGTGTAGTGACAAGCAACTCCAGTGTGTTGTGCAAGTGTGGAGAAGTGACCGCGTATCCGGCTTTTTAATTCATTCTGTAGTGAGTTACTATGGCTCCCAACTCATCGAGAGTGACGAGCGACATGTTTGCTCTAGTCAAGTGGTTGAATGGTCCGCACGCTGGCACGTTAACGCCGAACCTCAACGTCAAATGGATCAGAGAATTCAATCCAGTTGATCATCACGACGCTTCCGAGGCCTACGTCGTGGAATGGCGCCGACCACCCATGCCTAGAAGTGGTTGGCCTCTCTACGACTGCAACGTTCTCGTAGTCAGCAGTAAGTTTTGCATTGTCTGTGTGATTTATGTCATTACTTCATGTGTGCACGGGCTTAGCGGGCTGATTCCGGACTGCGTCTCATTGCTTTGTCTCTCTCGCACCTGTGCGGAACGCCTCGAGGCGAGAGGAACAGAACGACGAGACGTCCGTCGCTCTGTCTCTCTCGCACCTACCACATGCGTGCGAGGGAGACAGCGCAACGACTCCCTAAATCAGTCTGCTGCAGGCGGATTCCGAACAGTACTTTTGTGACTCTGTCTCTCTCGCACGCATGGGGTAGCATGGGGCATCCAGTGAGAGACGAACAGAGTACGCACTGTGCAGAATCCGCCTTGCCAGGCCAGGACGTGGGTCAGGGTCTTGCTGCACAGGACTAGTTGATCGGTTTGACTTTAGTGGGCTCATAAGTTTGTTTGTTCTCTTGCCCTTTGTAGGTGACTTAGACTTCTTACGCCAAAGAATGGAGGCTCTACAACTGAGCGATGATGATGCTGAAGAATTCACACCCAGGCGGAGACAGATGGCATCTTCAAATGATCCACCCCCACCATGTGAGTTCTGATTTACCACTCCATTTTTATAATTGAATAATCCCTCTGGGTCATTAATGAAGTATTTATCAATGTTCTCATTTTCACAGATGTGAGTGAGATTCTCAATTCGCTGAGGTCTTTAGCGAACCAAGGAATTCCTCGTGGTGGATCACTTAATAGGCAGAATAGCTGCAGTTCGTCTTCTTCTTCTTCTGATGAAAATCAGTCGGTAAGTTTCGGTCTAATCCTCTTTCATTTCCTTCAATACAAACTAGCGCCTTTAATTTGAACTTAATTTTCTTTGTTGCAGGTTATGAAAGTGGGTTCTGCTTTAGTGATTTCTAACACCGCTTATATTGCTGCCAAAGCTGCCTCCTCTCCGTCTCAGATGACCATGACATTAGTAAGAGCTGCATTTTCTAAGCGTCGTCTGCGCAGATCTTCATATGCAGGCCAGAAACGGAGAGACAAGGAGCCTAAACCTAGTCTGAAGAAATATCGTAAGACCCAAGACATCCAAGGTAATGTGGACTGCAAAGAAATTTGTGCACCAGTAATGACTAGTCTTATTTTGATAACTGATCTCTGAACACTATTTCCTTTGTAAAATTAACTATGGTATTGATCAAAGTAAACTGAGCCTTATTGATGCGCAAATTTATATCTAGTAGTAGATAGTTAATGCCGACTCTTGTGCCTTTCAACTCATCTCTTTGTTTCAGACTTTGTGAAGTCAAGATTTCCATACCTTACTCAAGCCGCTTTTGGGGCGGCAGTTAACAGTTGTCTCGGGAAAAATGTAGACAAGGAGAAAGTTCGTGAAGTAAGTGGTTCAGGTCCTGCAGCTAAAATGTTACTTCACTTAAAGGTTGTTTTGTAAAATATGTCTTTTTTTTAATATTTTCAGTTTGTTGATGAAAGCGACAGTGACGATGGGGAGGAATCATGAAGCATGCAAGCGAAGTCTGTGATGTGACTATGTGACTTTATGAATGTATATGAATGTATTTGATGTGATGTTTATGAAATGACGTTACCTGCTAATGAATTGTCAATGAGTTGACTTTTAATCTGATGTATATATGTACATGTTCATATTTTTCTTAAGAATTGAATAAATTCACGCTCACTTATCACTCATGCCTTGGGTCATTTATCTGGCTGTCAAGTTTGCCATGTTTCCAACATCCTCAACAACATAACCATAATACTCTTCATTCTCGAAGATAATCTGGCTCCGAACCGACAACCACGACTACTGTGAGTTTCAGTCGCTTGCTAGAATAATGAGTGAAGTAAACCGTGAACTGCAAATGCGTAGGGATGAATATAACGCATTGAGTGCATCAGAGGGGGCTGATCTAGCTGAGATAAAAGTTAAAGCGTCTTCCACAATGCTGGCAGGATGCACTACCTTAGGGTCAGTGATGGAAGCGTATGAGGCTATGAAGCTACCCAGACTCAACCAGACGCACTCGTACTTGTATACAAGATTCAAGCGGGTTGGGGACATTCAGGACCATCTTTCCATGATAAGCAGAGCACCTGAGGAGAAGGTAAGAGCTGCAATTGTAAATGACTGGATTTCACATGAGTTTGCTGGGATGTGCCCTTATTACGAAAGCTTATGTCTTCAAACTAAGAGGTTCTAACGGGCGGCCTCAACTTTCATGGGTGAGAGTGTGGAGGCGATTAGGCTGAAGGAAAGCTTGAGATTGTTCAAAAGCAGGGATGCTGACTGCTCATGGAAGAAAACAAATGAGCTGATAAAAGTATACCGAACAATGTGTGCATACTTCAGGGAAATGATTGAGACGCGCAAACTGGTCCCAGACTCATTTAAATCTGTGACAGGACAGTTGGAGAAGGAATTTCCTGTGCCGAACAATCTCCTTCAAACACTTAAAGAGATGCTACTTATAATGAAAACCCAAAACCAGGAAAGGGGCTACTCAGGCACCGGATGTTCTCATTATGCCCTGTTTAAACCCTTTTTACTGGATCCTGGCCTGTTCACTGAGCCCCCAAATCTGACTTCTAGGAGGAAGACTGTACAACCCACCATGCGATCCTATGAAATTCCACTTGGAGTGGAGACTTCTAAGCTACATGAAGCTGTGCCGATAGTTAGTCCAGAGATCAAGGGGGTATTACTCCTCTCAACTGCCATAGTCAAAGGAATACAGACAGGAGACTTCACCGCTGAAGAAGTCCTAGAGAAACTTGGGGCATATGCGGCAGACCTAACTCAGAAGTACGGCCGCGGTGAGATAACAGAAGAGGCCTACGTCACCAAGTTTAGCGCCATTGTATGTGCTTGTAGCGAAGTGGAGGAATCAACAGAATGGAAAACTGGTGAGAATGCAGGGGCATATTCCCAAGCTGCTAACATAGATGTGGTGGCCAGCACATGCTTTTGGCTGTTTTGTGTAGCAGAGGTGCCTGACTATGAGACTTATATGACCTGCTTAGGGCAACTTCACCTAGTCCTAAAATCAGGGTCAGGGAAAGAAAGGACCATTACACTACTAAGAGCAAAACATGAAAAAAGTATTGACAACCTATTGGCTAATTTGTCAGAGTGCCCTAATATCCACCTTCCTCCCTTCGTACTTAACATCAGACGTTTAAAAGACTCTGTGGCTGCCTTTGCAAGCGCTCACATAAATATTTCGCTCAGTTTTCTCCGCCCACTTGGAAGCGCCAAGTTTATCCTCCATATGAAAGATGTTCAGGCTGTTCGACTGAATATGCCGGCTCTTTGACTTGGAACAATATATGTTCCGAAATGAAGAACCTGAAGAAAAGATCTATCAATCTCTAATACTATTGCATCAGGTAATTATTAGAAAGCCAAACATATTCTCAAACACTCAAGGGGTTATTGGGAATGTCTTGGACGTGAAGCTTCTGCCAATGAACTGAAGAGTCGAACAAGTGCTTTAACCTGTACATAATGGTTAGTTGTAAGTTTCCAGTATAATCCAGATTTGTCTTTATTTATTTATCTTATTTATTTGTTCCCCAGTTGAGAGCCTCTTAGATGTAAGAATGTTATTATAATTTAGAATGTAACCACTTAAAATAGCGCAGCTTTAGGGGGAATAAGGTTTAGTACCACCTAAAGTGCATTCAAGTACCTGACCTAACTACTACTGGAGGAAGGTGAGAGCAGCCTCGAGTAGTAGTTCAGGACAATTTCGGCAAGCATAAGCCTGTTATGAGACTTGAAAGTATCATAGTACAGGCTTAAGCTGCTGAATGTGCAGACGACCTCTGTTTTCTGAACATTCAAGCAATTCAAAACTTCAAAAGAACTCTAAATTAATCCAAGATCAAATCAGCTGCTTTCGTTTCTGCTTTGTTGATACATCCCCCCCTCCCTCTTCCTCTGCCCGCGGCGCAACTGCAATTGCAAGCAGGCGGTGACGGAGCCGACGCCGTGCCGTGGATGCGACTTCTTGGACGACGCGTCCGGCCACATCAGCCTAAGAATTTGATTAATTAATGTTTTGGTGCGACTGAGCCACCTTAGAGATTTTCTCTTTATGTTCTTTTCCCCTTTTTTATTTCTCTCGGCGGTGAAAAAGACTGCACTGCGTGAAGGTACGACCCGCAAATTCATGTGTAGGCTTTGTGTTTTGCCAGTCAGGTTTGATAACAGTTACTTTAAATTTCTGCCTCTGTTAAAACCGGCATTCTATTGAAAGTGTACTCTGTATTTTCCAAAGTTTTTGTTTCTTGGTGTCCTTGGCAGTCATAATCCCTAGTTGAAATCCTAAATCGTGAAGTAAGGTTACTAAGTACTGTGTTAAGTTTCATGGTTATGTTAGGCGATCTGTATACGTACGTCGTGCTTTTGCATGAGCAACAAGCGAAATAGAAGATAAGCATTTGTAATTCGTTACTTACGGTACAAAATAAGCGAGTCAATTAGCAATCAACAAGTTAATACATGACGTGAAGTGCCTGTGTGAATAGACAAAATATCTGACCTGCCTGTTGCTTAAGAATCATCCTTAGTAGAGGACTCAGTAATTTTAAGCTCTATTGTACTTACTGTTAAGATATTCTTGTTTAACAGGTTAAAAATGCTCTTTCAAGTAAAGAACCCTAAACTTAGTCAGCATCTTCATGCAACCTAACCTCTCCCATCAGGCCTCAGTCGTTTACAGTCAAGCCGTCTGATGGGCTACACAAGTTGTAACTTAACTAAGGTATAAAATCTGTGGTGCAGCACTTATGTACCCACTACTTTGTACTGAATATTTACTTTGTACTGAATATTTACTTCTATAATTACAGGATCATTTTTGAATTTAAACACGTCAGAAGCTGAATCGCAGTCTCCAACAGGATGTGTGTTGATTTAGTTCTTTTTCAAATTAGGAGGCATCCTTCTGGGAAATATTATTACTGTGAACTTGAACCTGCTTGAAACTAGTCTAGATGCCAGTATTCGGTAAGTACCAAATAGTTCTTACTAAATTAATGTTACTAAGTCTGTTCAATTTGTCAGTTTTTGCCTCTTTGTGCTTTCAGATACTGAATGAACTAGCAAATGTAAATATTTGAATCAACAGACTCATGTAACCGCAGGAGGCAAGTCATTTTGTCAATTGTGTGCTTTGAATTAACTATGGAAGCTAGTATTTTATAAATATTGTTTTCTTCTGGTTGTTACAGGAAAGCTGAGTTCTGATTGTGCACTCTCTGCTCAACCAATTCTTCCGGATTTATTTGCTTGGAGTTGAAGCACATCAAATGTTACTGAAGTCATAATAGTTGTGAAATATATGTGAAAACAACTGACCTTCCTTTTAATTACTACCGTACAATTATCCATCAATCAATCATGCTTGTCAAAGTGAAGAAGAAGGTGACAATAACTACACGGGGAACCAATCTGTAAATAATATAGGAACATTAAGTTTTATTTGCACTAAATAATACTAAAAAAATAACAACGAATTCAATAAATCATTATGCAAGCAAATAAGCAAGTGTTGCTGCAATATTAACGTTACACTGCTGTGAAAGTGACTCTGGTGTGGAAATTGCTGTAAAGTAATAGACAGGAACATATTCAAGGTGAAGAACGGATAGCATGAAATAGATGTCATTGGAGTATATTTTTGGGTACATGCACATATGAAGTCCTCTACACAAGAGAGAACTGTAGTGGGAAAAAAAGTCAGGATGATGGTTGAAACTGCAGATCTGACTGCCCTGTCCGAAAAAACTGGTAGTTTTCCTGTAAGCAAACTACAGTTAAACTATAGTTAACTATAGTCAGACTGCAGTTTGCGCAGTTTAACTACAGATGAACTGCAGACAGACTGCATCGGCCCGTCTGCAGTCCGACTGCCGTTTCTTTACAAACAAGCTGCACTTGTTTAAAATAGATTATCTTAAGTTCATCTCTACATGAGCAATATTCGGCGTACAGTCTGAAGAATAGCGAACATGCACTTCATAAGGGCAATTCCTACTAGAGTTCCTTCCACCCGGGCTCTTGCAGAGCCACGCGTAGCATCCAGGATGGAGCTCATATAATTAGACAGTTTTGCGAAGCACTGGGTATCATTTCAGTGAGTAAAGATGGTCTTCGTGTGGGTCTCGTATTTCACCACACTCTGCTCTAAATTGCATCGCTGCGACAGAAGAAGCAGAGTGCAGCCTGCCGGCCACCGCTGCCTCGCTTCTTCGCGCTTCCGGTCGCTCCGTGGTGCAGTTAGCTGCTGGCAAGGGTCCCGCGGCTTTGAGTGTTCCGTTCGGTTCCGTTAGGCTCGCATTAGGAACAGTGGTCGTGCAAAGAATCCATCAGCAGAGCCTCCCTGCGATCTAGAAAGGCGGCTGTGGTTTATCTCTCGTCCCCGATTTTCCTCAGCTCTTGAAATGTGTGAGGAATGCTCTGTGCACCGAAAAGACGACGAGAAGCTCGATTATGAATTCGCCGATGGTGATGTGGATGAGGAGGTGAATTTGATTAATGGGCAAGAAGATGACGACGAAGATGTTTTGAGTTTGGACGCATCAATGTCTTTATTTATTGAGATAAAAGAAAACAGTGATCGTGGGAACGTGTGTGTGCGACGCCACCAGACCGCATGGCGTAC